GCAGGTATAGTAGCAGTAGTAGGAGTAGGGAGTAGGAGTAGCGCTAGCAGCTGCAGCAGCAGCACTAGTAGCCATATTAGTAGTCGTAGTAGTAGTGGTAGCAGCAGGAGCAGGAGCAGGAGCAGGAGCTGGGCCATTAGCTATTTTATTGATTTTGTTTCAAACGGGAACCACTGATTTACAAATCTTATTAACAACAGAATTTAGCGAACGACGTCAAATATTGCTATGTACTTTTTTTGCATCTTTTGCAGTGAAAGTACCTATGGTACCAGTTCGTATTTGGTTACCTGAAGCTCATGTAGAAGCACCCAACGCTGGATCTGTTATCTTAGCGGGAATTCTCTTAAAATTGGGAACTTGGTCATATGATACTTGGACGCTTTTTAGTAGCAGTAGCAGTAGCAGTACTAGTAGCAAAAACTGTAGCAGTGATATAGTAGTACCAGCAGCAGCAGCAGTAGAAGTACAAGTAGCCGTGGCAATGGTATGGTACTTCATCAACTGCCATCCATCATTCGCAACGCTTTAGACACTTCTTTTAAGCTTTTCTTAGGTTATACTCCCGCTACCAAATTTCCCTGAACGCCTCTGACTGAAATTACAGCCAGAGCTGGATGAATCTGGCTGCAAGCACGTCCAGAGCATAGACAATCTCAATTGCTCGAAGCTCGAGGAGCAAACGGCGATGCATAGACAGCGAATCTAGGCAGACAGACGGCAACGTGCGGCTACGAACATTGGGCTTTGCCACACTTTTTCACACTCTGACCATCTTCCAAAGAAAAGACCTCGTTCCGCTTCCAGAATCAGGACATAGGTTTTTTGTGCATGATTTCTGACGTCAATCCTTCAGAACATCAGGGATTAGAGACCTCATTTATACCAACCAGCCTAGCTCAATTGGCACACCTACCAACTGTTCAAATACAGACCTGGGCAGAACAAATTACTTCTCAATTATACCTGGGCAGGCCAGTTTAATGGTCATATCCCAAGGCCGTTGACTTCGTATTTATACCGGTCCTCCGGGTTCTTTTTGGTATCCTAGTCGGTTGCTTCCCGTTATTCGGCCTATCAATGCGAGCCGTGCTTTTATGTGGGAATCCTCATTTAGGATTGTTTTTTTATGATGTCCCGGTACGAATTGCTTACCATGACGCCGAATAGGAATACCGACTTCTTGATGACGAAAAAGGCCATCTGCTGTGTATAGATATGTAACTGGGACCTTTTTTTATTTCTTTGCAGACAAAGAATGTTTTGACATCCTGGTTGGCCTTGTCCCGTCGTTTGGCCTGTGTGTGTTGGGGCGGTGCTTGCATGTGGGACTTGTCATCTGGGAATCCGATCTGTTTTCTTGCCCCCTGTTCTGTTTTATTTGGCTGTTCCGTCCTCTTTTCTTTGCCTCTTTGCCTTTAGGCTGTGTGCGAGTGGGACGATATGACACACTGGGGGGGGGGGGGCAGCCCCCGCTCAATGGTGCGTGCGACAATGGTACACCGAGAGATGGGAAGAATTGCTCACAACATGGGTACAGAGACTGAAAATTCTGAAATCTCTCTCTCTCTCTCTCTCTCTCTCTCTCTCTCTCTCTCTCTCTCTCTCTCTCTCCAGCCCCTGAGACGAAGCTTTCCTAAAAGCAAAACTCCTGCTGCTAGACAATTGAACCCCTTAAAGCTGGTTCCCTATTTCGTTGAGACCCTCGAACAACGTTCGAACTTAATTCTGCGTTCATTCAGGCATGCCCTATTCTTCCATCTCTGGAGCATCCAGTGTATTTTTGTATTGCACACCTGGAACAATGCATCGGCTCCTTAGGTACTCAGCAGCGCGTTCCCCGATCACGTGCTGAAGTTCTTATGGTGCCCCATTCATTACATTACACCACCACCTGCACTATCTTCATCCCCGACGGCATTCAGCACTTCCACCCTTCGAGGCCCTTTCGACCTATACCTTTCTCGCTCTCTCTCCCATTCCCATCCCACTTCCATCCACCTCTGCCATCCGCTCCCGTCTTACTCCCTACATCCCCTTCCTACCTGTTTAGCTCTACGATCCCATTATCGATCACTCCCTTTCCTCTTCTCCTCGCTTTCGTACATCCCTTACCGTTTTGTAATTCTTACCTCTCAACCCTTTTGTAATGCTTATCTCTCAACCCTAATCACCAACTTGTTACTCTTCTCGCCTACCGTTCATCTACCAACGCATGACCTAATTTTTCTATCTTTTCAAACCTCGCTTCCCCTACCATTTCCTACTTTCGCTCCATCTGTTCCTCTCCCACTCGCGTAAATCTCCTGTCGTCTTATCCCGGGGACACCCTTCCACTTCTCTATTTTTCCCTCAATACCATCCCCTATCTCGCCCTTCATACCATCCCACCCTCTCCAACTGAAACACAATCTCCTGACATTCCTGTCCACCACCTTATCGTCGACTTCTCATTCTCCACCGCCATCGTCCCCACATTGTCCCACTTCTCCGAGATAGAAGAGTGCATCATCTCCCTCCTTGATCTCCCCATTGAACCCACCACTCGTTCATTACTCCGTTCATCATCAATTAGCAACAAAACATTTCTAGCTTCTCTCTCCACCCATAACTCTTTACCAAACATTTCATTATTTTCTACTGTTACGGAAAAGGTGAAGCTTAGCCTTACAACAAGCTTTTCGGAGACAATTAATTCTCTCTCTCTCTCTCTCTCTCTCTCTCTCTCTCTCTCTCTCTCTCTCTGCCTCTTTGCGGGCGGACAGCCTGCCCGCAAGGGAGGCAAGTCGCCCTACTCAGTATTGCCCTGTATTTCTAATTTCGAGGTGATACCCACATAATTGTGGCAGACGCAGCGCCCACCATCGAACGCTCTCGATGTTTACCCCTATATTCTTCCCTCATAACTGCACTTGTACGAGTCGTTATACACAGTCAGGTTCCATTACTCTACCTCAACAACGGTTTCACTCATCAACGGTTTCACTCATCAACGGTTTCACTCATCACTCAATATGATTAGCCAGGGCCTCGAAAGCGCCCAAAAAAACAGAAAAAGCCCAAAAGTTGTTTATGAAATTTCGAACCTAATATAGCCTTTATCTGAAAACTTGACTTACAAGGTCCAATTTTCTCAAAAAAAATCCTCCATAGATGAACGGATCTCCCCCCGCCGAAAGCACTCTAACAACCCATCAAATACTGCGTAGAGCGAACACTGTAAAAAGGGAGGGAAGCGGGCGGAACACGATGAAGGACCATCTTACAGGAAGCATCCTTTACGGCGAAAATAGTAAATCTATTACATGACCTAAATCTCTCATGTATGTGGATTGCGCGTGGAGAACAAGCTCGAATTTAAACTTTTCGCCGCAAAACGAGCACCTAACCTACCGTCTTAGAACGAATAGACCGCCCGGTTATCATCACTGTATCTGGACTGAACGTCGCCCAAAAAACAGAGAGAAAGAAGGCGAACTCCTCGCGCAAAGATGATAGTTTAACTTAGCCGTATCAACCAACCAAGAGCTCTTTGTCTTCGCTACAGGTGACATCGGCTAACCATTTGTGTCCGCGCTTCCTTCACGTTTCAGACAGGATATTCACACTGCGGAGTCACAAAAGCCAGCCGGTCTATGCGCTTCTCTATCGCGCGGTTTACCGGTCGACTACACGCGTCAGACCGGTCTCTGGCAGCAGGCAAGCAGGCACACATGGAGTATGCCCTCCGCATTAACTGGCCTTACAGAGAAATAGGGCGACATGCAGTGGTGTGTACCTCGAACAATATGACCGAGCACACATCGAGAGCGTGAGAAGAAATATACGCGAACGATGTGAAAAATGCAAAGATTTATTCTCATTTAGCCTATTACCGTCACTCAATTCGCTATTCCTACAAGACACCTATCGCGTGGGTGAGAAGAAAGATACACGAAAATGATGAGACGAATGATGAGAAAGAGGCAAAAGAATCTGTTACTCAATTGAGCCACTCGTTTGCAATACCTATAAAACAGCAACCGGTTATACATCTTCCGATTTCTTTCAGGCACTATACTAAGGTTATGTCTTAACAAATTTGGAGCACACATTGCATAACTATTCCACTTTCTTTGGACGACCGAATTCGGATTAGCTTCGATTTTCTCAATCCTGAACTCCAATATTCACTGACAAATTCATTCATAAAAACAAGGCATGCCAGAACTTCACAATGTGGCAGTCAATGAACCCCGTCGGAAACGACATGCCAGTACAACTCACAAAGGGCTTACAATCGGACACCTCCGAATGTATCCGACCCAATCTTCGGCCAGATACGGTGGAAGAAGCCCGGATGAAATTTTGCCCTAATGCGCGAGCAAGAGCCCCAGTGTCAGAAATGTCGTTTCGCAGTATGCTGCTGAGTAGTTTTTCGGCTTTTTATTGAGAGCACTTCATTCATTAACAAACACGCAAAGCACACCTCAACCTCCATGTGTGCCATTCAGATCATACACGGGTCGTGTCCATCGCGATGCATGAAAACGGACCCACGTTCATGAACCTGAGGGGGCAGGAGTTCAGGTTCATGAACGAGGGTTCAATTTTCAATACACATTCAAGGCTCCCATCACGGACCCACGTTCATGAACCTGGAACAGGGCAGGAGTTCAGGTTCATGAACGAGGGCTCAATTTTCGATACACATTAAAGGCTCCCATCACAATGATAGCATACAAACATCGAACAAGGGAGCCAAGGGAAGAGAACAGACTACCAAGCCGAAGAGAGCAAACACTAAGTAATAGGGAATGCTAAGAAGATTAGGGCTCGTAGGATAGAGATAGGTACACGATGACGTACGCAGGTGAGATGAGACTAGAGGAAGAGGGAACCTGTACGAGCAAGTGGAAAGAACGAGGAAGTGAGAAATCGGATGATAACACAGGAAGAGCATTTGGGCCACGCCAGAGAGACGCAGACGACAACTGCAAAGTAGAAGCAGAAGATTGGAACCGTGCGTAGCATTTACCGTGCGTAGCATTTACCGTACGAAGCATTTACCGTGCGAAGACGCGATACGGAGAAGTAAAGCGATCGTGAGTGGGGCATGACGAAATCGAGACAGTGGGACCAAGTGACAGTGCAAAAGCGGGCAGACTGTGTAAGAGAAAATCCTGAGAAAATCGGCGCAGTGAATGCAAAGAGTATTGGAGGAGATTGGGGAGGAGGGAGGAGGGAGGAGGGAGGAGCGAAAGAAGCGGCCGCGATACATGGCAACATAGGTCAAGAACAATAGCCCAAGGTAACAGAAAGCAGACGACAAGGACGAAACATGAGACGAGAAGATGAAGGGTAGAGATGACTAATAGACTGAAAAGAATTTTGAGAAAGTACATGAAGACAAGGACGGGGACTACGAAGGAACGTGGTGAGTCATGAAGACAGTTGCGCACAAGATATTGTCATCATCTTTGAAAGGGAACAGAGTGCCAGAAATTTAAAAAAAAAAGCAAAAAGGCGATGTTCAACAAGAGACGGCCAGACGGCGACAGATGACAATCCAAGGAGAGAACGAAAGGATAGGACGATCAAAGAAGATTAGATGAGGGAGGGAGAAAAGAAGAGTAGATAAGGAGGGAAAAAAGAAGAGTAGATAAGGAGGGAGAAAAGAAGAGTAGATAAGGAGGGAGAAAAGAAGAGTAGATGAGGGAGAAAAGAAGAGTAGATGAGGGAGAAAAGAAGAGTAGATAAGGAGGGAGAAAAGAAGAGTAGATAAGGAGGGAGAAAAGAAGACAAGATAAGGAGAGAAAATAAGAGAAGATAAGGAGGGAGAAAAGAAGAGTGGATAAGGAAGAATCGATCACAAAGAGTAAATCGAGAAAGAATGGTTCATTCATAAGGTCTCTCTCGCTTAAAATAAGAGAGGTAGGCTCAACTGGGTCTTTGACGATGGGACGAAAAAATGGCGTCTGTTATAGATAGATACTTCCACGCCAGTCCCCCCGCCGTCGGGTCTCATCATTCGAGATTCCTGAAAGCAACAATCAAACTCCCCCCATGATACCCTATTCAAGCCACATCGATAGACAGCTGTCCTCCTGCCACCTGTCACGTTCTTCTCGAATGCCTCTCCTGTCACTCTCCGACTCCTCTCTCTTTCTCCTTTTCCATCCTCCCCCCTCCTCTCATCCTGTACCCTTCCTACCCCCATTGCGTTTTTCTCGATATGTCCGCTCGTCCCCATTCGGGAAACCCTAATTAAAACAACAAAACTCACGCACACACCTCGATTCCGCCGATTTCACCGCCGCCGCCAGCCAGGACCTTGCATGTTCTGCAATTCGTTATCACACCTGAATCAGCAGCAGACCGAGCGCTTCTCCCATCCTCTTCTTCCGCTGCCTGTATTCGATCACCCTCTTCTCTTCTTCGCTTCTCCCATCATCTAAGCACCAACAGGCTCCGTCGCCTCAGCTTCCCCCTCTGCTTCATCACCCACGACAGGTCTGTCCACCTTCGTCCCTGTCTCCTCAGTGTAGTCATCATGTACATCCATTAGCTTGCCCAGGTCGAACTTCGGTGCCTTCAAAATCTTCACCTTGCGAATGATAGTATTCTGGAGGGGGTAGATGCCAGTGCACGCCTTCTCGATGTCCTTGCCGATCGATTCTGGAATGAATTTGTTCACCAACTCCTTCAGGTCACAGCTCTGGGCCTCTCTCGTCATGATCTCCCTCATTTTCTTGCGAATTGACCTAATCTGAGAAGACTGTGCATAACAAGTCCTCTTGACTTGATTCAATCTCTTCTTGGTGAAGCCAATGCAAAACATGCGGAGCAAGTAGTTGTCCGTGGTTTTGACATCGACATGCGCTTCGATAAGACTCTGCCACTTCCTCACAAGAGACCTCAACTTGTCGGTGGTGAGGTCCATTCCCCAGAAGTTGGTCAGGACATTCCTGTTCTGAACATCCTCGGCCCTGAGCTTCATCTTCCTGAAGGCCTGATCTTCGTCATTCTGGAGATCAGCAAGACTGATCTCGAACACGCGATGCTTCAGACTGTCGGACGCAATCTTCGTTCCTTGCGTCCTTGTAACGAGGGTCTTGCCAACATTACGTACAGAGAACATGGACGGCGCCTTGATATCATACCAGTCCTTCTTGCTGAACGGGTCGACGATCTTCTTTTTCCCTCCCTTCTTTCCCTTGGAGATTCGCTTGTTCTTGCCGACAGCCATGGTGGAAACCCTGCTCTAGGTCGCCGACACTCAGCGGTGACGCAACCACAACGGCTATGGCGGAGACGGCGATCGACAAATCGCGCCGGCCAAAGAGAGCACTCCACACTTGGACCCGCCTTCTCATACCCTACCGAGATGAGCGAGAAACTACTCTTTCGGGCTCGGCTTTGCTTCCGGTCACCGCGGGTTGGGATTCCCGGCGCCGTACAAACGAACGCACGAGATGCCAGGGCCAGAAAGGTTAGCAAGCCAATCGACGGCGGCGAAATTACCCCCCCTCTCGGCCTCAAAACTGCCAGAAGACGGGACCAATTAGACACAGAGGAGGGGGTAGCCAGGACAGGAAGGACCCCGGGAAATGTTACCCCTGCAGTTTCGTCAATTTCATGGGTGACTGCAATACAAGGCTTTTGGTGTTGCCCGGGTTACCTCCACGCCTCTGAAAGCACTTGCAAGGCTCTCTTCCCCGAGCTGCTCCCCTTTTCCCAGCCGGAGTTCTAACTATAATATGCGGCGTGTGCTTTGAAGTTTGAACCTTCTCCCTACCAACCCTTTCTTTGCCCACCAACTGGAATGACTGATTACCCAAGGCCCATTCTCTCCACTCGGGCCCCCAAAAAGGCGAGGAAATCATTAGTATGGGGTCTTAGCCATCACAGGGGTGTGGGTGGGGGCGCGGGTTGGGGAGGGGAGGGGGGTTGAGTGTGATGTTTGGGAGAGTTGGCCTTAGACACTGCTGTTACTCCATAAGGGTGGGGGAAGTAGATGGGATGCGCAGTT